AATTTAAATTTATTATTGCGACAGTATGACATTGAGACAGTGCTTCTAGACGACGAGAATAGCAAGGAGAGAACCAAGCACTATGTGAATATTTTACATGATGGGAAACTGCTTGGTTCCAAGGAAAGAAAGAGGATGCTGAGGATACTTTGAAATAATTTGTGCTTTAAAATAGTTGAGTGAGTAATTTATTTTTGTTGACAGCTTTCTTTGTTGGTTACTGTTGTTTAATGTCTAAAAATTTGGGTACTTTGGTACTTTGTACAGATTTTTATTTTTCTTTAACATAATAGATTATTTTCTGCTCAGTTATCTTATGTCTGCCCTCGCTGTATCATATTTTTTGTACATCAGGGGCCTTACTTATCTTTGTATTCTGTTGTTCTAGTGATCCTAGCAAAGCTACTGCTGCAATGCGCGAGGGCCTTGCTAAAAGCATAGTTGTCACATATCCCCAGTACCAGAAAACCATTGAGATCCCCGGAACAACTCCTTGGGTATGTGTGACTCTCTTAGCCTAATTTGTTCACATTCTAGCTCTCTTTTTTTTTCTTTATCTCTGAAGTCTCACACGTGGAATACGAAAGGCGGACATCTAGCTAATGTCATCAAAGGTATTCAGACAAATCTTCCCGACTCCAAAAGGGCCAGGAAGGGGAAAAAGCCCAAACGTAAGAAGAAGATGCCCACATCAACTGTTGATGTAAGTAGTATTTCCAAGAGAAATGTTAACATGGTTATCCTAGCTCAATCTACTAGGGTTTTTTGTCGTTGTTTACCTCAACTACCCTCACTTATTATTCTCAGTTTGTAAACGAGTCTTATGCTTGGTATGGGGTATATAGTTGAGCTAAATGAAACCATCACCTTTCCATGTAAATGCTTAAAGAAAACTCCGTATCAATTATGATTGATTGACCATATGTCTTGTTTCAGATTGTACAGCTGGGTTTATTACTGCCCAATGAGGCCAACAGGTTAGAGATATTTGATGGAATGAAGAAGACTTATGAAATTCGGTGCGCAATGAGAGATAAAGGCACTAGTGTCACAGCTTTAATCAAGGATTTTGAACAATTCATTCATTTTGATGGAGAACTGGTATGTTCCTTTCTCTATTTATTTCTTTTCAATCGCAAGTTTTCTAATGTTTTATATTTCTGGACTTTGTTATTGAACACAGAACTTAAACTCATGTTCATTTAGGGTTAATTCCTTTATTTTGTTTTTCTAGATTGAATTAGAGTTCAAAACTTTGCACCACAATGCAAAGGACATGTGTCCCGAACTGGCAAAGTATGTCCCAAAAATTATTCAGAAGTGGGATGACCTTCAACCCACCACAAAATTTCCCGATGGTAAGGAGATTTGTTTAGAGAAATTGATTTAAAAAAAAATTGTAGGAAAGCCATTGCTTAACACATATTTACCCTTGAACATTTTATAACAGATAACATGAAAACATTACTTATTTTGGCCTCTAAACTGCCCCATACGATACCCCCTATGTTAAACCGCTCACCGCCTCGGCGGCTGCAGACAAACGCTCAGCGCACTACCCGCCTGCGGATAACCGCTTACCTCGCTTGGCGCTCCGGATAACCGCTTAAGTCGCTTTT